CAATGGACGATCTACAGGATACATCATTGATATATCTGGACTAACGTTCATTAAAAAACAAAAAAGAAGGAGATGTGGAGATTAACCAAAGCTACCTCATGTTTAATTAGTATTTTGACTTTGTGTATTGTATAAGTACGTGCAGACTGCCCTGGCAGTTGGAACACGTACGAAGTGCAAATAAATGTTATCTGTGTCTCTGTCTAGCAAATAGCTAACCAGAAGGTTGTTATTTCCTCCTTGAGAGCGAGGTCTTTGTGTAAAATTTCAATAAAAGAGAGCTTACGAATATACTCGAGGTTCTCACTTTTGCAGACAGCCCTGTGTCTTGTGTTTCATGGGAACCGGATCACTACACCAAACCTTTAAAAATTGCATGTTCTTAAACGTTATATAATTAGCTGTTCATCAGAGAATCCCTCAACGGAGAAAAACATTGTTAGCAAAAGTTCTCTGAGCTGGAGTGGATCTATGAAGGACCCTCTTGGGGGAGGCTCACTCAGTCCTCCCCCCCATTAATCCATCCAAGAGTTGTGCCATTTGCTGGAGGATGAGATCAAGAGGGATCCCTTCCAAGGCTCTTCTGTGATCCTGGGATCTGCATGATCTCCTCAGCTACCTTCCCTTTCCCCAAGATCCCCCCCCAGATCCTTTCTGCCCTCCCTGTCCGGAATGGGGCAACTCACTGCAGGACAAATCAACAATTTTATTCAATTATTTAAAATAATTTTAAAAAGGTTTTTTTTTAATTTTTGTCTTTCACATTTCATTTCTTTCCTCCCTCGGCCTCCTTCCTTTCCTGATTCTCTTTCTCCATTTCTTCCATATTATGCAAGTTGTTCTAGACCCCTCCCTGCCTCCCCATCCCAGGCAGGAGGGTCGGACCCCTCCCCACCTCCTTCCTGGGGGGGGGGAAATGGGGCTGGGAGGGAGGCCAGACGGCTGCAGGGAGAGGATGGGGGGAGGAACCTGGGCAGAAAAAAACCAAAGGTTCAAGTACAGATTAGACAAAATTTGGCTCAAAATCAGGGGGTCCCAATGGGGAGCCTCACACTGGACGTAGTTGTTGAATTCAGAGGCAATCCCCCCTCCCCCCTCACACGTCCTGTTCCTCCCCCTCTTTTAACTATAATTTTATCTTGATTGGGAATTCTATTTTGATTGCTATAGAAATATTTATCTGTTGGGATTTTAATGCTTTAATGCTGTAAGCCAGGGCTTTTCAACCTTTTCACCGACTGTACCACGTTTAGGATATATGGCAATATTTGAGTGCCACCTAGCAAGGTGTCAAACACTTGATGACCAAAAAAAACCAAACCTGTTTAAAGTTGCAATTCCATTGAAATGACTTATGACCACTTTTCACACTTATGCCCATTGCAGCAGGCCCAGGGTCATGTGATTTATATTTGGATGCTTGGCAACGGATTCATATTTATGATGGTCACAGTGTCCCAGGGTCATGTGATCCCCTTTTGCAAACTTTTGACAAGCAAAGTCATTGGCAGGTGGCCAAGTGCTAAGGCGGGACTTCCCTCCCTCCCTCCCTCCTTCCCTGCCTCCCTCTTTCTCATTCCCATCTCCTTCTGAAGGAAGAATTTGAACCCCCCCCCCCTATTTCCCCTCTTCTATATATTCATTGAACAAGGAAAAGCCTCCAGAGACAGAAAAGACAAGCCATTGAGGGAACTAGCTTAAGAAGGCGCATTCCCCTTTAAGAATTAGCTACTGGCTAAAAAGGAAAGTTAAGGAGCGCAGTGGGCACTTAAGGAAGAAAAAAAATGTAGTAAGTATGGCTGCTGGCTAAGGCAGCCTCCCCAAATGGCTCCATTCATAAGTAAAGGAATGCTACAGGCAAAATCCAATCAGGAGAAAAATACTTCAAAATCCCTTGCAACAAAACTTACAGCTAACAGTAGCAGAGCAGTAGAAGCTAACCTGAGACATCAGCCATCAGCCAAATAGAAATTGCCAAACACTCCTTAAGACCACAAAGCCCCCATTGCACAAATCCCAGAACTTCAAAGTCACAAAAGCACATAAGAATCCTTCCACTCTCCATCTCCCTCCGTCATTCACCTCCAGCCAGTGCTGCCTTTCTTCATTGCTGCCTTTCTTCATTGCTGCCTTACTTCATTCCTCCCTACGTTCCTTGCCTCTTGGTTGCTGCCAGCACATGTGGCTGCTACAGAAGTTGTAGATCCACTTGTGGCCGGCCTGCTTGATTTCCTCTCCTCTCCCCCCACCCTCCTCCTTCTTTCCATTCCGTGAAGCTAGAGCTGACTCCTCCTCCTCCCAAGGCTGCTTCTTTTTCTCTCTCTTCTTCTCCAGGCCCAAACTGCCTCCTTTTATAGCCTCTCCTATCTCCTCCTTTCTCATGGGGGAGGAAATTCCTTCCTTCCTGGGGCGTTTCCAGTATTTATTCCTGTTGGACTTGTGCAATTTGATGATGGAAACTGATCCCAACCAGGAACGATTTATGTTTTTCAATCTTTGAGAATCCCATTTAACTTCTTGCTGCAATTTGCTTTGGAAATGAATTAAAACAAATAATATTTTAAGGACTGAAAAGGGCTCTTGGCCTGAACTAACCAACTTGGTCTCCTGTTCTGGCCCCTCCTGTGTCTCCCCCATGTCCCTCCTCCATTCCAGCCAAACCCACCGTCTCCATCTCCCCCACCAAGCTGGACCCCGCTTCCCCCAACACCATCCTCCTTTGCACCGCGAGGGGCTTCTACCCTGTGGAGATCAAGGTCCGGTGGCTGAAGAACGGGTGGCTGGAGGAGGAGGGCGTGGCCTTTGGGGAGGAGCTCCAGAATGGAGACTGGACCTACCAGCTCCAGGTGATGCTGGAGACCCAGCCCCAGTGGGGGGACGTCTACACCTGCCAGGTGGAGCACGCCAGCCTGGAGGCCCCGATCACCGTCCAATGGGGTGAGCCCCCCCCTCCATCTCCTCCTGGTCTGGGGACCCCATCCTGCCCTGAGAAGCGGGGAGGGACCCTCCCTGTGGGGGGAGCTGGGATGGACCCTCCTGGGGGTGCAAGCTGTCCCTGATCCTCCTACTCAGGGGAGGCTCCTTCTCCTTCCCCAGAGCCCCGATCCTCCAATTCTGCCAGGAGCAAACTCTGGACGGGGATTGTGGCAGCCATGATCGGGGTGATCTTCTTTGCCATGGGGCTCTCCCTCTACCTGAAGAGCAAGAAAGGTGAGTCTGTGGGGCTGGATGAGAGGTTGTGGGGAGGGGACCATCCAGGGGAGGCCTCTCAGCAACCTTAGCAGATGGCAAGGAAGCTCCCCTGGGAAATTTGTTTGGGAAATTCTGTTCTTTGAGAGTCAACTGTATAAGTGAGCATCCTGCAACCTATTATGGGCTATCGATGGGGAGGGGGACCCCCTGAGTCCTCCAACCCATGAAGGGTTCTGATTGGCTCTTTTTCTCCTTCCAGCCACTCTGATCCAGCCTCCTGCAGGTGAGTTTCTCCTCAAGTTATAGATGTTTCTTTAACATTCCTTAATTGTTCCTTTAAAAATAAATGTGCCTGAACAAAGCCTCCTAGCTGTGGATAACACAAATTTTTGTAATTTTGGACAGCTTTTCTTTACAGAGACCTGAAAATACATTGCAATCAAAAACAAACACACACACAAACATTAAAATGTGGCCCAGGATGTTTCCAGGTTTTGGGAAATTGCAAAAGGGAAGTGAAGTCTCCTTGTGACATTTCTCACAATTTCTGGCCAAGTGACACCCGGCTTTGCTGCCATCCCTCATCCTGGCCCCATCTTCTTTGTTAATCTGAAACGTCTCTGTGTGGGGGAGGCCTCCTCTCTTGATTAACCCCCTAATTAAATCATTTGGGGAACATTCCATAAATCCAGGGAGATGAATCCCTGGTCCTTTGCATCCTTTTCCTCCCTGAAAATCCCTGGGGGGATTCTCCCTCATTCTGCTCCTGCCTATCAACCACCCCCCTGCAATGTAGAGGAATAATGTTATTTACACTGAAGGTTTCACTTTGTATTCTCATTTTCTAATTTTCTCCCCATCTCTTTTTTTCTACAGCACTCATGAATTAATCCTTCCTGCTTCCTGATGGGAAAGGATTTTTTTTTTTAGTGGCTGATGAATTTGTGGCTTTTTCACAACCTCTGAAAAATGGAGGCTCAAGATTTTAGATCCGGGAGAGGAGGAGAACGGCAGCCTGGAGCTTCTCCTGCTGAGATTCCCCCCCCACCTTTCCTTTCAGGCCTCCCTTTATTGTGAGGGAGGGATGGAGACCATCTAGACTGACCCCAGGGACTCTGGGCCTGTCTGTCAGTCCAGAACCCCAAATCTCTCCCCCCTTTGAATCCACAGCAGCTTCATCCCCATTAGTCTTCCTATGAATCATTTCCCTTCACTTTGCTATAAAAGAATAAAACTTATATTGTAGGAAAAAT